TTACAAGTTGTCAATCCTTCAGGATCACTACTAGGAGACATCACTTCGGTCATTAATGGATGGCCGTGCAGCAAACCAACCAGCCCGAGCGAATGGTGTAGAAACTCTGTGCTTCATGGTCTTTGCTGGTGTGTTTGGAAAGAGAGGAATAGCAGGATTTTTTATGCCCTTTCTACAACAGAGGAGGTGATTAAGTACAATATTAGCAACCAAGTTGCTAGGTGGTTGATAGTTGCGAATAAGGTGGAGAGACAAATAGCTGAAGAATGGTTAGCAAATCCAAGAAAAAAGATGTTTGGCAGCAGTGAAGCGTCACCCAACTAAAAGGAATTTTCTGGCAGCTGGTGGAATGAAAGGAAGTTCGTCCGCTCGATGATGAACCCTCTTGGTTTATGGTTGTCTCCGTCCTTAATGTCTGCCTTTAAAGAGCGCCGATGATGGAAAGCCGTATGGGTTGGGGTGGGATGTTTGTCTTCCCTCTGTTTCCTAGGTGCAGGGAGGCTCTCTGTTTGCCCCTGTCTCCCTGGTCCCTTGTTTTTCTTTCCCTTCCTTTTGTTTCTTTGTAATTAGATGGACTTATTTTAATTAATTTGTGTCACCATTATCAAAAAAAGAAAATATTGGTCAATGATGTATGGTTTGATGAATTCTCTAGCAGCAAAGCTCAAACCACTTCACTAGCCTTTAAAGTAATTCCAATTCTAGACTCAATATCCAAACTACATGAAATTGGTTAGTGATTTTTGGGGGATAGATGTAGAAGGTTTCCACACTATGTTTTTTGTGGCAAGCCAAGAGAAGTGAAGCTGAAGCTCAAGAAGATGAATAAAGAGGTATATGCCGACATCTCAGATCAAGCTAGAGCAATGGAGGATCAACTTGCATCCATTCAGGCTGATGTGCTTAATGATCCTAGGCATGAGTTTATTGCAAAAGATGCTATTTTGACAGGGAAGTGTATCCTAAAAGCTGAAGAGTTGTATTACAAGCAGAAATCCAGAACACAATGGGTACAAGAGGGAGATATGAATACCTCCTTTTTTCATAATTCTATGAGAGTTAGAACTCATGAGCAACAAATTACAAAATTACTGGACGAGAATGGTAAAGAGGTCACAAAGATAAAAGAAATGGGAAACGTGGCTGTTGGCTTCTATCATAAGTTAATTGGAGAGTCAGATCCTAATGTATAAGACTTTTCTGTGGATTATTTCAAAGAACTGCTCAACCTTAAGCTTGGGGAGGAGGATGCTGAATTCTTAAATAGACCAACCCTTAAAGAAGAGATTGAGAAGGTGTTTAAGAATTTAGGGAAGGAAAGGCACCTGGACCTGATGGGTTTCCAAGTGAGTTTTTTCTTCTACATTGAGAGCTGATCAAGATGAAGTAGTGAATGTAGTGTAACAATTCTTTCAATCAGGCCCTATTCCAATACAAGTTAATTCGACTATTATTACATTGTTTCTAAAGTTCAGATTTCTTTGCAAATGAAGGATTCGCCCAATCTCATGCCGTAATATTCTCTATAAAGAAATCACAAAGATTTTGGTATTAAAGTTGGTTGTTGTGCTCTCCAAAATTGTCGGTCCCTCTTTATCCACTTTTATTAAGGGGTGCTCTATATGTGATAACAGCGTGTTAGCTTTGGATTTTGTTAGTTGGAAGTTTCTATTTAATGTTCTGCAAGCAATGAGGATATAAGGGAATGTTTTGCAGTTGTTGATTGCTTGTGTATGTTCACCAATGGTTAGTGTGTCTTTGAATGGTGGGATGTGTGGTTGTTTTGGATGCAGAAGGGTCTGATACAAGGGCCCCTCTGTCTCCTTACTTGTTTATACTTTATAGTGGCCAGGGGGACCCTCTGTCCCCTTATCATCCTCGTTCTAAACCATTAGGTATATCCCACATGTGCTTTGCATATGACTTGTTGGTTTTTACTAATGGGTCAGCGAGTGATGTACCAGGTATAAGGCGATTACTGGATGAATTCTACACAATTTCAGGGCTATGTTGGAACCCCGAAAAGTGTTAGTTGTATTGTACTAGTATACACCAAAATGAAAACCAATTTATTTTAGAACAGACAAGGTTCCCTCTTGGACTATTACCTGTGAAGTATCTGGGGGTTCCTATGGTATTGATTTCGTTTATACGATATGTAGTGATACTTTTTTTGCGTACTGTATTGGTTTTAATTTTTTTTGTTTTGTTTTGTTTCGTAGTGGTAGTGGTTTTGATTTTGTACCTTGTAGTGGTATTGGTTTTCCTATAGTGGTACTAATTTTCGTTTAGTAATATTGATTTTTGTATGGTGGTACATATTTTCATGTAGTGGTATATGGTTCGTTATGCTAGAGGAAGGAATGAGAAGACGGCGATCTGATGAAGGTGGTCAGAGGGAGACAGGTTGGAGGATGAAACAAAAAATGTAACTAATATGAGTTTTTAATTATAAAAAAGTAATGCAATTGATTCTAGTAAAGTGATGTAACTAATATCGGTCCCCGTTACAGTTATACGTCTACAACTTGATTGTAGGACATGAACAAGATCAAATGTTATAACTGAATTATGATAGTGAAACCTCTTGAAATTAGGTTGTCGACATATTATAAAGGATCGTTTGCTTCGTGGATTTGGATGATGGATTTGGTACCTAAATCTAATCCATCGTTTGTTTGCATTTTTTTAAGAACAAATCTGTGACCCACAGATTTTAAGGATCCAAATCCGTGGAACCCACAGACAGTGGCGGACCCAGAAATTTTCCATGGGGTGTCATCTTTTAAAAAATAAATTAAATTAAAATAATTAATAAAAATAAAATGCTAAATATGAAAATACCTTACTCGTACAGGTTAAAAAAGTCCATGATGTGTTTTCATATTCGGAAATAATTGTAGAATACACTTGGTGTCTATAGTGTTAAAAAGATTTGTCTCTACATACCCAAGTAGGCAATCATTCACGAACTTATCGCATATTCGATTTGTAAACTTGTTCTTGATGTAACCCAAAGCTGAAAGACTCTTTCAACACTTGCCGTACAATCATAAAATCAATACAAATTAAGGATAGTTTGAAATTAATTTAATTGTTAGATTTTTAAAATAATTAGAGATAGGGAATGCCATTTTACTATTACACATTGTTCAAAATCGAACAGCAAATGAGTTGTAGCTCAACGGAAATTAAGTTTATTAATAATAATAGTGTTCTAGATTTGAATTATCCAACCTACCACTTATATTCCTATACAGAAATGACAGTATGAATAGGATAATCATTTTTTTCAAATTTAAGGGGTGTCGCTCACTATCAATTATATTTTTTGTCCATACGTAAATTACAACCGGGAGTTGGATAATCGTTTTCCCAAAATTTAGGGATGTCCCGGACACCCCTGAAACCCTCTGGGTCCGCCCCTGCCCACAGAGTTGTAGAGCCCTAATATTGATGGGGGATTTGGAACTTGCCACAAATACATGATGAGATTTTACTCTTATACCCTCATGAAATTTTAATATTCCAAGATTACCCTCACATTTAGCTATTGCACACTATAAATAATCAATTAGTTAGCAACAAAATAATAATATAAATATTTAATTAATGTACAAACATAAGTTAAATTTTCAATGCCCTTTCTTGTTTTGTAGTTTACTTTGACCTTTTCATGGAACGTGAAAGAAGATTCTAATATGTGTTGTTATATGTTATTTTTCAAGTGGAAAACGAGGAATTGGTAACTAATATATTTACATAGAAGTTAAACGAAATTTTCTTGTTTACTATTATTGTCCTGGTAAGAACATTATTCTTTTTAGTATGTATTGTCATTATTTGTGTACATATCGTAAATATGATAAACAAACAGAAAATGATAGTAAGGTAATTTTGGAATTTAAGTTCTAAATCCCAAACCCTTAAATCCATGATCAAAACATCTCAACAAACAAAGAATTGTTTCAAATCCATAATGCCTCAAATCCTTGATAAATCTTTGGATTTTTAAATCACAAAACTCTCATTTCTAAATCCATGAAGCAAATGACACCTTAAGTATAAAGGTATGTGCTGGGACGATCGGTGCCATGTACACGAGGAGCGACGGGGACTGGAGGTGGAGCTTATGTGTCGTGTACTGCAAGCTCGACTCTTCAAGGAGGAAATGGCCCCCACGTGGGGTGCCAGGAGGGAAGCGCTTTAGCTGGGAGGAGAAGCAACTGCGAAGAGCTCAACGCCTATGATTCAAATGGGACGAGCGATTTACCATTGGACACAAATGTAGTAAATCTACGGTGATGTTCTTGTTTGAGGAGGATTTCGAGGGTCAACCTTAGGGACAATGTTGATTTCAATGGGGGAGGAGTGATGAGGTTATTTTTGGTTTGGGCTTGGCTGTTTTTCCTTTCCGTTGTGATTTTCGTTGTGCGTTTGGGATAGGGGTAGCCGAATAGGAGTGGGTATTCGGGTAGAATTAGGTTTCGTATTAGGTTTTTGTAGCCTATAAATATGTAAGTTTGGCATTAGTTCTGTCTCCAATTAATAAATCAAAGTTTATGGACACCAACTTCTTTCTCTTGCTTGTGAGTTACTAGCAAAACCTTTAAACTGTGGGTAACAGTCCATCAATAATTCATGGCCAAGGACAAAAAAACTATATTATTCACCAACCATCAGTAGGGTGTTTTGATAGAAAAAGTTCCTCTAATTAATTATTAAGGAGAGGCTAAATTCACGAATAGTTGGTTTCTCGAAAAAAGAAGAAGATCTATATCAAGATAAAGACCAGAAAATTCTTATGCGAGGCGAAGATCATATTCGTAAGTAGAAAATTTAAGAAAATCGAGATTATATTGCAATCAAACCACAACAAGTTGATGGAAAAGATTAATGTGAGCAAAAGGTAAAGAAGAACATATTCAAATTTAGAGCATGGAAAGTTATTACAAAACAAAGGAATGTGCAAGTTAAAGTAGCTATATTATATATCATCTCTACTTGCAGAGTGCAGCCAAAACTCGACGAGGAGGAGTGAAGATCTTTCGAGCATGAAGTACAACACAATTATCTATCAACAATACGTCTCCCTTTTGCCAGGGAATTGCAACGCTTTCCTCTTCCATGATTTGCAAACAATCATAAACAATATCGGAAGGAAGAGGGTCCCCATTCCCAAACGCGGCGGCCTTTGTCAATTCGTCAGATTGTCCATTGTCGTCTCTACTAATCGTATAAGCTGCGACCATCCCATTAAACCAAATTTTTCGATCTCTCGGCCTGTCGTATTTGATTGCTGGGATTGGACCCATTATTATTCTCGCTGACGATCCATCTTTGATCCACTCTAGCTTCATTCCTAGTTTTGCAGCCCTAGCCATAATACAAAAATATAAATATAAATTAAGAGCCCTTCTAGCCTTAGCCATGATAGTGGTGGCCGGTAGTTGAATCAATACCACATACATTGTCATATGCTGAGTGTATATCAGATTAATTAGTTCAAGTTGCATTAGGAGAATACAGAGGGTAACACTTTTTAAATAAAAAGGAAAAAGACATACATGAGTAATTGAAATTAAACTAATATATGATTAGAAAAAAGGCAAAAGAGAATTCAACGAAAAAAGGCAAGAGAGGAAAAGAATATGAGAAATATTGGAGATAGCGATTTGAGCAGTAGGGGCAAGTAGGCTTAGGATTTTTGCATACCTAGATCTGAGTCCTTGATTTCAAGTGGAGCCGGATCTAATGGTTGAAAATAAATGGCTTTCTTTATTTTTACTAGGTTTCTAATTGAGTCTTTCCTTTTTCATTATAACTTAATTTTTTTTATAGATAGAACAGGTTTGTTTTGATCTACAGAACCAGTTTCAATATATTTTCAAAAGAAAAAAAAAATTCATACTACTCGTTACCAACTTGGTACCACCTTCGTTTTTAACTCGCATTTTGAAACATTTTTCCTAGAAGAAAATGAGTTTATCGTGATCTATTGAATTTATAAATTTCAGGGGAAATTTTCTCAAAGCCAATTATACCACCCCTGGTATAAGGTGATAACTGTTGGTGGACAATGATGAAATGTGACTAATGATAGTTAATATATTCCTACTACCATGTATACAACCATTCTACACTATGATATTTTTATATCATTTTGGTACACTTTCATACCACACAATATAATTTTATGTACATACCAAGCAGTAGCACATGGTATGGACTGTTAATAAAAGTCTTAATTCTTTTTGTTCCAAAGTATATCAAACTGGATGTCATTTTGAATAGAACAATTAATAGATTTTTTTGTACAAATGTTTCTAATTTCTACTTAAGATAAAAGAGATATAACCATTAAAGTTCTTGGGGAAATTTTAGTAGCCTTATTATAAATGGTATTATAGGGTTATGCAAGATTATTATGTAGAACAAGGTTATTCAACAGATCTTCTCCTAGACAAGTATGTTGTAGTTGCAGATCTAGGGGTGGGCCACCCTAAGCCACGACCCAACCCTCCTCTGGGTCCAAATCTATAATAGTACTTTTGAATTTCTCAATTTTAGGTGTTCGGTTCAATGCAATTTAAAAGTCGGTCCAGTATTATTTGATAATAGGATTTTGTTTAACTAAAAAAATGTTCCAGATGAACATATCCAAACTACTACCTTAAATTTAGTCTACAAATTCTAGCACCAATAATTTTTATTTGTAAAGAAACACACTGTAAAGGTCTAAACCATAAAAGGCTAAAAGTATGAAGTTTTACTGAAATAAAAAAATCTCTACACTAAAGCTCACCATTTACTGTCAAAACTAAAAAATGTCTCCAATCCCCCCAAAACAAAACAAAAACGATGGAAGAACATACCCGAAATAGATTCTTCTGCTAGTATGTCGGACTCTGTTTTTTTTAGCCAGTTGCGTGGTGCACTAGAACCTAATAGTTCTTTCCGGTCTTTCAATGAAGAAAATATTTAAAAACTTGCTCAAGAGTTTAGCCTCATTGAAGGCTATGAGATGCATTCTTTGAAAAATGAGCTAGGATATTATGCCGCTCATGTGGTTCATAGTCAGAAATTTGAAGTTTGTTCTCTTGCAAAAGTACTAGAGTAGCTGGTGGAAACATCAAACATGGATGGATACACAATACAAATTGACTTTACGGTTGTTTCGTCTAGTGTGGACCTTGCCCGTTTCAACGGTTACAATGGAGAGAACATTTCAGTAATAAAACATGTGAAAACTGATTTACCCAACAAAATGAGAAATGAATTTCTCGTTGATTTCTTAACTATTTTCTTTGAGACAAAGTATGCTATTTGTATGGATAAAGATTATATTATTGATGAATTTGCTAAATTAAAACACTTTCCACAATTGCACAATTGGCATTATAAGGAAGACTATACTTATTATATATTATTTGTTTACTGTATCTAATATTTTATTCTAATGCAATTCAATACTTTATTATGGTCTGGATCGGCTCGTAGATTGGTAGTCGTATTCATGTCCGGCCCATAGTACTTGTACATCAAAGTAAGTTCCAAATAGATCACATGGACTTGGAGCATAGGAAAAACAGAGGAAAAATACCTCTGGCCGGCGACCATTTTGTCAGCGGTGCCAAACGTTGATTTCCAGCCGCGACCAATGGCGGAAGAAGGATCGTCTTCTTCCCCCATCACTCTGTTGTAAACCAATCCTTCCTCTTCCAGCCGCTCGACGAACTCCGGGTGCTTCTCTTTCATCCTTTCGTACACCACGTGGCTCAACACGATTGGCGTCTCGCCGCCGCTTGCCGGCTCCACTTCGCAGAAGAAGAACAACTTTGTCGGGAACTCCGGCGACTGAAATAGTTTAAGAATACGTTATAAGGTCTCGTGAGTTCTTACGCGAATAAAATTAATTAAGCTAAAAAGTACTGGAATGGCTATTTTTCTGACATAAGCCAACTCGTGGTGGAAGGAGATGTTTTCATGGGGCGGCGACTCATTGGCAGTGTAGACGTGGCCGACGACGTGGGTCCGGGGAGCTGCTCCACCGTTGTAAGGCTGATCGGCGAATCCGAAAGATTCCACCACGCTGTTGAAATGGGAAGCATTATCGAGAGGGAATCCCCTGAATAAAATCGCCCCTGTTTTGTGAAGCAGAGACTCCAAATACGGCTTTTGGGATTCGATGGCGGAAGTGAAGATGGCAAGAGATGGCGGAGACAATGCTGGGTTCGGAGACAGAACGGCGGGGAACGGCGGCGAGTTTGGGGAGCGCTTTTGGTTTGGGATTTCCGTTTCCCGGAAAAGCTCCCCCATTTTTTTATTTTAATTTATTCTTTGTTGCTGCTCTGTTCGCTGTTCGCTCCCCTGTCTCTCTTTTATTTCAGCGTTGGCGCCGCCAATGTTCCAAAAACAAAAGGAAAAGATAAAAATGAAATTAAAGTATCCTCGAAATTCTATTTTCGTCCAATTTAACCTCGATCTCGATGTTCTACCTCCATAAAAGAGAACATATTCCTACCATATCTGGACGGAGGTATTATGCTTCCATCGCCCCTTTCCCAATTTACTAATCTGTACTCTGGTAAGCTGGCCGTATGTGATTTGCCAGCCAATTTTTAGCATATGTACGGTATTTTCCAGGAAAATATACAAAAGAAAATTACAGTAAATATATTGTACTAATAAAAACCACACCGTAAATATTTTTCAGGAAAGTTGTAACATGTAGCAGATCCTCCAGAATTTAAAATTACTATGGATGGACCGGGAACAATGTTGATAATTAAGCCAACTTCCTTACAACTTCTTCATCCACAACATTTTTTTACATGCTTGTGTTGTGCAATATACTCAACTTCTATTATGGAACTAGTATTGCGACCGGCCCTTCCGGTGGTTGGTGGGTGGTCATGCAAATTTGATAAGACGTTTATTTTAGGGTTATAGGTATAATATGCCTCTATACTATGTAGTTTTATCAAACATGCTTCTTTACTATTTTCTACATCAAACATGCTCTTGTACTTTGGGAAAATGATCAAACATGCCATTCTGTTAAAATTTCCATTAAAAAATCGCCAACCATGATTGAACCGAGATGTAGACGACCCGACAACGGCAAATGAGAAGGGAAATGTCAAATTTGTCCCCTGTTTTATTTTTCTAGGTCTCGTTAAAGTGAAATTATTAGAGGCATTTGGCTCTACAAAAGAACCCAAAAAATTCTAAAGTGAAATTACCAGGGATATTTTAGACATCTGTGTCGCCCAAACCAAGGTACGACCGTGGTTGACTGTTTTTGGATGAAAATATTAACAGAAGAGCATGTTTGATCATTTTTCTAAAGTACAAGGGCATGTTTGATGTAAAAAATAGTAGGGTTAATACCTTAGTTTGGCCCGAACTATACACATACTTTCTACTTTGGCCCGTTTTATTGAATATTGCTACTATGGCCTGAACTATGTAGCAAACTTCCTCATTTGGCCTGGAGGCGGGTTTGACCATCAAAACAGACGGTCAACCAAGTTGACCGTTAGTCAATTGCCACATCACCTGCCACGTAGACATTAAAAATTAAATTTTTTTTTACAAAAAATAAAAAATAAATTAATAACTCTAAAAAAAAGAACGAAAAAAAAAGAAAAAAAAAACCACAGCCACCCACAGCCACAGCCCTTTTTTATTTATTTATAAATCTCTCATCTTCACTTTCCCTTTCCCTCTTTCTTCCTCTCCAGCCACTCTCTGTCTCTGCAACCATGAGAGAGTAGATTTTTCCGGAAACCAAACACTACCCATTTTCGATTCATCCTTCCTTTACCACTTCAAGCAATAAAAATGGTGTCTTTCGATGATTCCCTCTCCCACCACCACCATCACCTCTCCAGCTCCGGCTGATTCCCTCTCCCTCGCACGAATTTCTACTCTCCCCTGCTCTCTCCTTCCGCCTCCACCACCAAGATCAACCGCCAAATCGGCCGCTCCATGCGCACGATCCGCTCCACTCTTTACACCGGAGAGGACAGCTGTTCCTCCTTCGCTTCCGCCGCCGCCTCGCCTGACCACGTGTTTGTGTCCGAGAACTTGACCGACTCTGTTGTGGACATGCGCCTCGGGGAGCTCGCCGCCAGGAACTTCCTCAACTGCTCCGGCAAGTCAGAGAAATCGTCGGCGGCGAATTTGACCTCCTCCGCGGCGGCGGCGGAGGAGTTTTTGGATATCTCGCAGGCATTCAGTGATTTCTCCGGGTGTAGCAGCGATATATCCGGGGAATTGCAGCGATTGGCGTGCTTGCCTTCTCCCAGACGAGGAGGGGAGGAGGAATTGCAACCGGAGCCGGAGCCGTGCTTCGGGTTTCTGCAGAGGGAGAGCTTCTCGACGGAGATAATCGAGAGTATTTCGCCGGAGGATCTCCAGCCGATGGTCAAGATCTGCGTGGAAGATAGGGATGGGTGGCTGTGGTTTTTTTTTTCTTTTATTTTTCGTTCCTTTTTTTTTCTTTTATTTTTCGTTCCTTTTTTTTGTAGAGTTATTGTCACACCCGTACCCAGAATTTTATGAAATTCCTAAATTGTCCCTATCGGTTATTAAACCTAAACGAATATAATTGATGACCCTAGGCTAAATTCAAAGGAAGCAGCCGCCCACAAGCTTCTGTAACCCTCCAACTATATACATATATATAGTCTACACAAAACCTAGAACGAGGGCTGCCGCAAATTAAATCCCCTCCCCATTCTTTTCCTCCGCACAAAACCCAGCCACCATCCCGTGAGCCTTGGCACGACCAGATAGCATCGCCGGTACCTCCGCTATCTGTACAACTCTTTTCCCTTTACCAGTGACTAGCGAGCTCCCCAACCGAAAACGTCAGACGGCAGTGACGCAAGTCGGGAGCGACACCGACGCCGAAGGCGTACCGTTTCCTCCGTACGTCGTGTCCTTTGTTCGCCGGGCACGGTAGCTCTTGATCGTCCTCTCTCGTACATAGTTTTGGCGGCGGGATTACGGGAGCTCGAACGAAGATTGACGACGAGGAATTGACGTCCGGGAATCCTCAAATCGTGCTTTGGGCTAGTGTTAGAAGGGAAAGGTGAAGGAAGAAAGAAAACGGTGTAGGGACACGTACAAGGCTTATAAGTACGTTTGGGATCATCAGGGCAGGACATAAGTTGATAATCATATCGACTTGGAATTAAGGTGCGTGGTTAAAGGGGGCTAGAGTAGTTTTCGTTATCAGTATATGCATTTAAGTTCATGTTATGCATTTCAGTTCTTGCTTTAGTTCAGTCCATCCTTATATGCTTTCATATTAAGTTAATTTGTTTACGTTCAGTCTTTACGTTTATGTATGCATAGCATCATGAAGCATATGTAAACTACGTTAAGCATATGTATCTTCCCATTGTGCGGGAGATCACCAAGCTTTTCAAGTATGCAAGAAAGTATTAATTAGTTACATCTCTCCATGATGGGAGTGATCAAGATAAGCAAGCATAAGAACTATCAAGTTAATAAGTACGAACAAGTAAGAGCAAGTTTAATCCTTGCTTAGCTAGCTACGCACGCGGTACAGGATCCCCATTGTGTGGGTGTTTTCGCCTTAGATAGGCGCAGGATCCCCATTGTGTGGGTGTTTGCCTTAGATAGGCACAATGTACACGTTCATGATCCCCATAGTGCGGGTGTTTCGCCTGAGAAAGGCGCAGGTTATCAGTTCATGCTCCCCATTGTGAGGGCAGTCATGTTAGGATATGTTATGACAAGTTTTACCGGGCGGTTGCGCTAGCTAAGTGGAGGAAGGGCCCAATCTTAAGATAAAATATGCAAGACACTTATAAAGTAAACAAGAATTGTAAGCGCGATAACTTCCACTAATGTATCTAAAACATTGCATGTGCATAGCTGTTTGTTTACATATGATAACGAAACTAGGATTAGGACTGACCCCATCGCCCGCACTCAGGAGGTACAAGAAAGCAGGAGCATTCAGACCACTGGTCAAGAGGAAGCTGTTGCTCAGGATGTCATCGTCACAAGGGTTAGTGATTGCAAAAGATTCCAAGTGAACTCTTTCACTTTTGTACTTTTATTAGTAGGCTTGAGACTGATGCTCATTTATGATTTGTTAAGAGGGATTTTCCTACGGCGATTTAAAAATTATTTTTCTGTATTATTTCCATTTTGAGTTATCTTGATTACTTAAGGGCATTTTGGTAAATTTAGTGCTCGGCCGAGCAAGGGTGTTACAGTTATTAATTTATTTTTTATTTTTTGTAAAAAAAAATATAATTTTTAATGTCTACGTGGCAGGTGATGTGGCAATTGACTAACGGTCAACTTGGTTGACCGTCTGTTTTGACGGTCAAACCCGCCTCCAGGCCAAATGAGGAAGTTTGCTACATAGTTCAGGCCATAGTAGCAATATTCAATAAAACGGGCCAAAGTAGAAAGTATGTGTATAGTTCGGGCCAAACTAAGGTATTAAAGGGGCATGTTTGATAAAACGACATAGTAGAGGGGCATATTATACCTATAACCCTTTATTTTATACCAAGTATTAGTAGAAAGTCGGTGTTTCCTGGATTTTGATTGGCTTGTGACGTGTGATGTCGGAAGAAGAAATGTTGTTTGTAGGAGGGGTCATGAGTTGGTGCAAAACAAACTGAAAATTACTGATATCAATAATTAGGTTTACTAAGAGTATTTACAAAGTTTTTTTATTTTCAATTGCGCAATGACATTTATATTTGTTTTTAATTTTGTTTTAAATTGTGCATGGAGAACGTAACTGTGCCGGGATGGGATGGGTTACTTTTGTACCCCTCCTGAAAACATGGTAGAAAGGAGATGTGTTACGTGGAAAAACTAAAACTAAGTGAATCGCATAATATATATTTGGGTACTTCTACGGTGACATGTACGGTGACTTTCACTTTTCGGTCGACCTCAGTTAGGATTAGGTCGACCTCATTTAGGATTAGGTCGACCTAATATGTTGTTTCAATGTAAAAACAGTTTTATGGTACCTACTTTGGAGATTCATATCATACAATTGGCTAGGTGGAAATTCAAGATTAATGGCTTGTTTTGAAACTGGAGTGTCCCTCTATATATTGAAGTGATTAAGAGCTCGATAGGAAGTCCAGAAGACCATTTTTGAACCTGATCAAAAGGCTATGCCAAAACTGGGAAAATACGTGAAAATTAGGGCGGGGAATCTGGATCCGATTTTCCGGTCAAACCGAAAACCGGACGGTTTTAACCGTTCCGGTTACAACCGGAAACCGAATCCGCAATAACCCAATCCAATTGCCGGTCGCTGGCTGTTTGGGAAAAAACCAGCCTGGTCCGGTTTAAAACCGGAAAACTGTTTAAAACTGGATGGGCCCAACACTTATTATAACTAATTGACTAGGCCCAACAAAATATTACCCAACCCACTAAATCAATAACCCAACAAAATATTACCCAATACCCATTATCCAACCCAACAAAAGACCTAATTGACGAAACCCTAATTGCCTAATGCAGATTGCAATCCAGCGTTCCTCTTCCTCCCCTTCCATCTCCATCTACGCAGCTGAGGAACCGAGCTGCTGTCTGCCGCCTTGTTGCTCTCGCCTCTCGCTCTATCCCTTAGAGGGTGACGAGCGACGGACGACGAGTCGACGAGTCGAACACGACGGCCCCATCATCTCCCTTCGATCTCCGTTCGCTCTAGAGCAGTCTCCCCCGTCTCCGCGTCTCCTGTACATCTCCCTTCGAGGCTCGAGCGTCGATCTCCTCCATCTCCTGAACATCTCCCTTCAAGCGCCATCATCTGCCAACTCCGCCCTTTCTCCCATCGAGCATCGATCTCCTCCGTCACCAGACGCAATCGACGAGCCAACGACACCTCCAGATTCCGGGCGATTGGTGAGGTTTCCGGTCAAACGGTTTTCCGGTCAAAATCGGACCAAACCGTATCTCATCCAATCCGGTTTGGTTTAAACCGTGTCTCAGTCCAATCCCGTCTACGGTTGGGCATAAGTCCAATCCGGTCCGGTTTAAACCGAACCGGACTGTTTCCCAGCCCTAGTGAAAATGGCTAAGTCTGGAAACGTGTTTGTGAAGCCTACTTTGGAGCTCAATTCAAGAAGCATGAATGCGAGTCGAGTCTAGGGGCCTCTACCAAGTTAAATTATGCATGTTTTTCTACAAATTTAAGTCATTGGATGAAATATTGGATATCTATAAGGCTTCAAACAAAAGGGTCGAAGTTGCTACGAAGGCTGTTTTTCTGGTAGACTTCGAGCCCAAGCAAGCTGCCAGAAAAACATCCTTCGTAGCAACTTCGAGCCCAAGCAAGCTGCCAGAAAAACATCCTTCGTAGCAACTTCGAGCCTTTAGTTCGAATCCTGAAAGATATCCAATCTTTCATCCAATGCCTTGCCTTTGTAGACAAACATATCTAATTTAACGTGGTAGAGGCTCCTGGACTCGAATCTCATCCATGCTTCTCAAATTGAGCTCAAAACTAGGCTTCACAAACACGTTCCCAGACTTGGTCATTTTTAGGCAGTTTCCCAGTTTGGGAATAGCCTTTTGATAAGGTTCAACAATGGTCTTCTACACTTTCTATCGATCTCCCAAGTACTTTAATGTGTAGAGGGACACTTCAGCTTCAAAACAAGCCATTAATCTCCAATTTCCATCTAGCCAATTGTAAGGTATGAATCTTCAAAGTAGACACCATGAAACTGTTTTTACACTGAAACAATAGATTAGGTCGACCTAATCCTATATGAGGTCGACCGAAAAGTGCATGTCACCGTAGCAAAGTCCTATATATTTTTGTTATGAAAATATTATTATTATTATTATTATTGATGACCACATTAGATGCTCCATAGTATGTTACAAGTTCTATGTAACTCCTCTCCTTATATTTTATTTCTCCTTATGATACATTACTCCAATTTATGGTAATTAATGTTAGAGTTGTTGGAGTTATGTATTTGTGCTTATAAATAGAGCACACAAATGTACTAAGACACATGAATAAGAGTAAGAGCACTTCTCTCCTTTTCTCTTGTATTTCTCTCTACTTTTGTTCTTGTTTTGTTCTCCATCTCTTATTTTATAACACGTTATCAGCACGAAACTCTGCCAAAGGCATGATTGGTCATTGTCTCTCTAGATAATCAAATATACTTGAGTAAGATCACAACACGAACAAGGTATGCAAATTTTCACGTTGTTTCTTGTTAGTATGTTTATCTGTCTCATTGTCTTTGAGAGATTATTTGAACATGCTATTTGTTCATATTATTTTATGAACTAATTTATATATTTCGATCTCGTAACATAGAATTTGTGCTTGGACAATATAAAAAAAATTGCTCCTGTAGTAGCAAAATCATTATGGAATGACTTGTTGATTGCTACATTCGACATATAGAGAAATAAAAGTGTAAAGATCTCATTTTCCCCCGAAGTGGAAAAATGAAGAACAATGTGTCAAATGAAAGAAGTGGATCTAGTAGCAAAAATATCAATATGAGTTACTATTATGGTGA